CTCTGCTTCACCTCCATCACTCTCTCCAGCCTGACTTGGCTCTGTTACCCCCTTTATTCCCAAGCTCTCCTTCTTTCAGTGTAAAACACAGCTGGATCTGGGCTAGTTAAAACTGCAGAGCTTTGTGTGTTATCTAACTTTTTCCAGAATCCTCACCTTGTGTTCGGCTCAGGTTTTCCTCCTTTACTTTCTAACATTCCTCTTCTTTCTCCACTTTTCTCTCCATGCTACCCTCCTTCAACACATCTTTGCTTCACTGCTGGCAGTGTTTTTGGGTCCAAGTGGGGAACAGCCTGCTAGGATAATTATACCGTAAGGATCCAGGATTATTGGCTAATGTTGTTTCTTCTACTTCTCTCTGTTGTAATATAACCAGGGGACGGGCCCATTAATTGCCCTGCTGATGACTGTCATCACAGACACCCCTCTATGTCCGACACACAGAGGGATGGTGTGTGTGTGTGGTGTGTGTGTGTGTGTGTGTGTGTGTGTGTGTGTGTGTGTGTGTGTGTGTGTGTGTGTGGTGTGTGTGTGTGTGTGTGTGTGTGTGTGTGTGTGTGTGATGTGTGTGTGTGTGTGTGTGTGGTGTGTGTGTGTGTGTGTGTGTGTGTGTGTGTGTGTATATGTGTATGTGTGTGTGTGTGTGTGTGTGTGTGTGTGTGTGTGTGTGTGAGTCTCAGCGGGTGTCTGATGGGAGGGTGCTCAAGTGTGGAGGACTCATCATGGGTTATTAGGAGCATGCAGGGGGGCCATCAAGCGTGAGAGATAGAGATGAAGAGAGAGAAAGAAGGCGATTGTTAAGAGAGGATCGTTCCTAAAGCGAAGTAGTGCTGCTCCTAAATTGTGACTTTAAAAGAGACTCATTGAGTTTCTCTGTTCCTCTTCTCTCGCTCCTTAATATGCTTTTTGGTTAACCATCAATTGATCTTTTTGACCGAGACGTTTAATTTCACGCAAGAAGATTTCCATGAGGCTAAATTATAAAGTTCAAGCAAAGGCCAAGATGTCTTGACTTATTGCCCCTGGTCAGGTAAAGCTCTTTAAAATGCAGGATCCTACACATCCCACAATGCAAATCTACAGCACCTTTTTTCCCACCATTCTTGCAGGTTTATTAATTTGCTGCGTAAGACTGCTGACTCCATTCTGACATCCTTTCTCAGATATTGCAAACCTCTTAGTACACAACTGTTTCCCCTGACTCAGCAGATTCCACCCATGACTAGTACATTTCCTGTGATGACTTGACACAATGATGGAGTGTTCCTTTAAACTAATATATTTACCGTCGTAGAAACATTTGTGGGATGAATGAGTGGTATAATGTGGCATTTAGTGACAGGCTTCAGACCATTACACTCTAACAAACGCACTCACACACATTTAGTATACATACATGCAGAACACACACGGGACTCTCCCATTGGCTAATGTTAGTATCCTGCGCAGCATCTTCACAGCAAGGCAGCTAAGGATAACAGATAAGAATCTAGACAGCCTTGTACGGCATGATTAATTCATTTAATATTCTGCTTGCCCAGAATGAATGTGCAGTTAATATTTAATATTCCTATGCTTTTTCACATGATTGCAACGTGATTATGAGAGGGACACATAGTGGGGGTGTGAGGTTTGGGAGGGGAGAGAGAGGACAAGAGAGAGAGGCGGTGTGAACGAGAGGGTGAAATCACAAGTTTTCTAAATTGCGTTGTTAATACGGTTTGTGCTTACCAGTAATGCTAATGTGACGCTTAAGTAATTGGAATTGAAAACAAAATGAGATAGAAAGAGACAATTAAAGAGAGAGAAGGGACATCTAGGGGGGAGAGAGAGAGACAGCCACAGCATTACCATATGTATTTATGTGTGGGGGTGAAGTGTTTGTTGTTGTGCATCTAAGGAATAAACACAGTGCACCTCTAGCGTTGTTTTCATGCAGTATGGAACGCAAATACATTTGTTCACTTATGAAACACAACAATGAGTAACTGCATAGTATTTGCATATATACAGTGGGGCAAAAAAGTATTTAGTCAGCCACCAATTGTGCAAGTTCTCCCACTTAAAAAGATGAGGCCTGTAATTTTCATCCTAAGTACACTTCAACTATGAGAGACAGAATGGGGGGAAAGAATCCAGGAAATCACATTGTAGGATTTTTAATGAATTAATTGGTAAATTCCTCGGTAAAATAAGTATTTGGTCACCTACAAACAAACAAGATTTCTGGCTCTCACAGACCTGTAACTTCTTCTTTAAGAGCCTCCTCTGTCCTCCACTTGTTAACTGTATTAATGGCACTTGTTTGAACTCGTTATCAGTATAAAAGACACCTCAAACACACTCCAAACTCCACTATGGCCAAGACCAAAGAGCTGTCAAAGGACACCAGAAACAAAATTGTAGACCTGCACCAGGCTGGGAAGACTGAATCTGCAATAGGTAAGCAGCTTGGTGTGAAGAAATCAACTGTGGGAGCAATTATTAGAAAATGGAAGACATACAAGACCACTGATAATCTCCCTCGATCTGGGGCTCCACGCAAGATCTCACCCCGTGGGGTCAAAATGATCACAAGAACGGTGAGCAAAAATCCCAGAACCACACGCGGGGACCGAGTCAATGACCTGCAGAGAGCTGGGACCAAAGTAACAAAGGCTACCATCAGTAACACACTACGCCGCCAGGGACTCAAATCCTGCAGTGCCAGACGTGTCCCCCTGCGTAAGCCAGTACATGTCCAGGCCCGTCTGAAGTTTGCTAGAGAGCATTTAGATGATCCAGAAGAGGATTGGGAGAATGTCATATGGTCAGATGAAACCAAAATAGAACTTGTTGGTAAAAACTCAACTAGACGTGTTTGGAGGACAAAGAATGCTGAGTTGCATCCAAAGAACACCATACCTACTGTGAAACATGGGGGTGGAAACATCATGCTTTGGGGCTGTTTTTCTGCAAAGGGACCAGGACGACTGATCCGTGTAAAGGAAAAGAATGAATGGGGCCATGTATCGTGAGATTTTGAGTGACAACCTCCTTCCATCAGCAAGGGCATTGAAGATGAAACGTGGCTGGGTCTTTCAGCATGACAATGATCCCAAACACACCGCCCGGGCAACGAAGGAGTGGCTTCGTAAGAAGCATTTCAAGGTCCTGGAGTGGCCTAGCCAGTCTCCAGATCTCAACCCCATAGAAAATCTTTGGAGGGAGTTGAAAGTCCGTGTTGCCCAGCGACAGCCCCAAAACATCACTGCTCTAGAGGAGATCTGCATGGAGGAATGGGCCAAAATACCAGCAACAGTGTGTGAAAACCTTGTGAAGACTTACAGAAAACGTTTAACCTCTGTCATTGCCAACAAAGGGTATATAACAAAGTATTGAGATGAACTTTTGTTATTGACCAAATACTTATTTTCCACCATAATTTGCAAATAAATTCTTTAAAAATCAGACAATGTGATTTTCTGGATTTTTTTTCTCATTCTGTCTCTCATAGTTGAGGTATACCTAGGATGAAAATTACAGGCCTCATCTTTTTAAGTGGGAGAACTTGCACAATTGGTGGCTGACTAAATACTTTTTTTCCCCACTGTATATATATATATATATTACACTCTTCCCTCTAGATACAGGCGGCATGAAGGAAACTATTATATTTCAACAATGAGAAAGAATAGAGAGAAAATCAGAGAGAGGACAAGCAGATTTCATTATGATGAAAGAAACAACCCTTAAAAATGTTTTTATTGTTCATAATTGGAGCCTTTAATAATAATCCTCCTGTAGGGTCCTGGTGTTCACACACACACACACACACACACACACACACACACACACACACACACACACACACACACACACACACACACACACACACACACACACACACACACACAGGCACTTTGCTGCCTCCCTTCGAAAGCAAATATGTTGAAATTCTGCTTATCTGAAAAAGTGGTGCAAGACAGATTTTTGTGTTCATGAACAGTAAAGTTTGTCTTATCCTATAGGAGGCTTGCAGTTCAACTGAATCTTAAACCTCCCAAATCTCCAAGAAAGCTTTTCTTTTGGTTTGAAGTAAAGGTTCTAGTTCATTCATTATTTTTGATATTTCTAGTCAAAATCCACACCATGTCTTCAAATGACATCAAATCTATGTTTATTTAATTGGCGGCAGAGAAGCATGATCTGCACCGCAGACAGCATCATGTTGCAGTATTGTCATTTCAATATGAAGTAAGTCATGGGGCTGCTGGAGACGTTAATTAGAGGCCAGGCCAGTCATCTCCACCCTCTGACCCATTTCCTGCCCTCCCATCTCCCCCTTATCTGTCATTCACAGTCCCCCCACTGCTAATGAGCTTATTCTGAGCCATACACTATGTCTGCAGCTATACTTTTTTCTTTGTACAGTGAAGCTGGGCTTTTTGCTCCACAAGAAACAGGGAGATGGCTGTTCGTTCCCACCATGTCTCCAATTAGATGCCCCTCTATTCATCCTTGTGTCATTTCTCCCTCGTCTCTCTATCCTCTGCTTTCTCTTGTCTGCTCATGTTGGAAGAAGGTTGTAAAACAGGCTGCCTTATCCAAATGGAGACAAGCCCCGAGGTCACCGTAGTTTTGTCACATTAGCCTCTTTAGTGTGTGTGTGTGTGTGTGTGTGTGTGTGTGTGTGTGTGTGTGTGTGTGTGTTTTTGAAGCTGAGTGTGACATTAGCCTTGGCAGTCACACAGGTAATGATCTCATCTCCCCGCTGGTGACTAGAGGCACACAGAGAGAATTATACACACACACACACACACACACACACACACACACACACACACACACACACACACACACACACCACACACCCTGAGAGGGAAAGATGTGGAGCAGAGATTGGTATTGTAATGGTACTCTAATGGGCAACCTGACAAGTGCATTTTCTTAATGATATGTCCCCCCTCTCCCCCAACTCTCTCCTCCCCCTTCCCGCTCTCCTCAACTCTCTCCTCCAGGTGCACTTTCTGTCTTTGAGGAGCAGTGATATGGACACCAGGTGTGGTGACGTCCAGGTATGTCATTTAGTTCTCATAGTGTGTAATATCATTTTGAATTATGCTGCCCTGTCATCACACTATCCGTTTTTCCTGTTCCACCTTTTGTTCAGCTGCCGTTAAACCAAATGTATGGCTGTGTCAAAATCACTAACCCATTACCTACAGTATGAAGTGCAATATATTACCCTCTGTCATTTTATTTGACTGTCTAATGGGGATATCTACCATATACTAGTGCCCTCAGAAATCCTCACAATTCAATGAAAATAAAGAAGTCTCTATGCTCATCAAAGGAACAGAGATTCAAACAGAAACTTACCTTAGATAAACATCAGTCATCTTCACACATTAACTTAATCACACAAGAACCTTAACATGAACGAGTAAAAACATTGCCAAAAACAAACCAGGGGGTGCTGAGGCAACACAAAGCAACAACAAATGAGCCCTGCAAACCCCGCTGTGGTGTTAAACCGGTAGAAAATGAATGAACCAACAAAGGTACAGTTTGCAAAAATCATGATCAGACCTTGCTTTTATAAATCAATTACGCATTGTACAATAACATCATATCTTAAACATTTTTGATTTGGTATTGTGTTGGGAGACGGCCACAGGCCTACAACTTCATCTGATATGTTTTCAACTCCAAACCCTCTATTAGATTCAACATTTGTTGGCTTTTAATCCTGCAGCCAATCCACCATGCTATCATATCTGATGCGGGTTTCTTTGTTGGCTCTGAGCAGCCTCTCCACCCCACAGACACCCCACAGACACACTGTGATGCTCTTATATTCCTGGCTCTCTATTTTTCTATTTATACCCACTGAGATGAGCAATGAGCCCCAGGCAGCCCTCACTCACCAGCCCAAGCTCAAATAGACACACACACTGACACAGAAACACACGTTCCCTCTCAAACATGCTGTGATTTAAGGCTGAGGTGGAGGTGAGAGGGTTTCATCGACAGTGTGTCTGACCATATGAACTAATGTAATGTGGTTAGCTGTATTGTCTAGCCTCAGAGGGAGCTCAGAAGTCTGGAGGTCCTGCTGTGTCCTTGTTTTCAGCCTTATATTTGGGCATTCTGCCGCATAGCCTCAAAGGAAACATAAAGTCTAGAAAACCAACATAATGTGTTTTTCCTGTTATATTGCTTATCCTAGGTTTGTAAACATAAAATGTAATAAACAAGAGGGTCAAACAAGTCTCGGCAGAGTCATTGAGACACCCCCTAAAAAGCAACACTGTGACAGTAAGTGGGGTGCATTTATGAGGCTTTAGCAGTTATCAAAGAAAAGGTAGTCTTTTTGGAATAAGAAAGCCTAAGTAAGTGTTATATGAATCCATAGTGACACTTGACTTTTTCTTGATCATTGCCAAAGAGGCAGCATGAGCGAGAGAGAGTGTAGGTCAATGCCAATAACTGTTTTGAAGGGGATTTTTAAGCTTGAATTAATTCAAGCAATCAAAAAACAATTAGCAGTGAGCCATTAACCTGCTGTTTGCCTGCGACCTCAACTAAAAGGTGAATTTATCACATGAAATACACGCCCCCTACTCATACACCTACACACATCTAGACATACAGGCCAGCACACACAGAGGGAGAGAAAGAGAGCGGGATTACTACTGTGAAACTAAAGCAGTTAAAAATGAATGAAGAAAACTTCCATGAGAAACATCGTCTTGCATTATTAACAATATTGAGAATACTCTGAAAGTGTGTCAGCTTGACGTGTTCTACCTCCTGTGCCCTCTTTTCCCTCCTCTCCTCCTTTCAGTGATACCGTCACCCTCCTCTCCTCACACCCAAAATAAATGCTCACACACACATACCATGTATACATCACTTCAGGGGACATTACATTGACTTACATGCATTTCCTGGAGACTTATCCTAACCTTAACCATAACCAACACATGCCTAACCCTAACCCTAACCCTTACCCTTACCCTTAACCTTACCCTAATCCTAAACCTAACCAAGTCTTCACCCTAAAATTAATGATTCCTCTCATGGGGACCTCCATTTTGTCCCCATAAGGGAGGCGAGTCCCCACACGTGACTATGTAAACAGATTTAGGTCCCCACAAGTATAGTAATGCTAGTACACACACACACACACACACACACACACACACACACACACACACACACACACACACACACACACCACACACACACACACACACACACACACACACACACACACACACACACACACACACACACACACACACACACACACACACACACCTCCTCTCCTAACCCCTCTCATGGAGTGATTCACATAGTTTACCAGCAGTTGAGCAGGGTCAGTATCCTATTTTTATTTTTTTTTCAGTCCAGTGGAGCAGAGGGTAGTCAGGAGGAATATGGTGTACAGCAGATCCTCTTATCAACTCTTCAATTCACTCTGATGATTTTTGTATTTGATTTGTATATACTTGATGCATTTCTCCATAGATAAGTGTAAATCTACTGACTGTATGCCGTAAGGATTTGTCTCTGGGAGCATGAGGGTTGGTCTTTACCTAGTTTGAACAGGTGCTTAAATAGCATGTTGACATTAAAATATATTTTTGTGAAAGTAGCATGAATGTTGGGGGCGACACGATTTCAATTCTTAATCTTAAATCGATCAAATTGAGTGTAGAAACTGCAACAGATGACATGTTCAGGATCGAATTCAATGGGGGAATGGGGGGAAAAATTCTACAAGCTGCATTCCAATCTCAAATATTGGTAAAACGTAGAAATGTGATGTACAGAAATGAGTCAAGAAATTATAAAAACCTTGTACAAACGTACACTATTGGATATTTCTCCACGTGTGTGTATCCTGTTATCCTGGAATACACATGGATATTGTAAATCACTCAGAAGGAGTAGGGAACTGTTTGGAAAGAGGGTCATCAAAACAAAATATATCCTGTATTTTTAAATGTAATATTACTTACTTCAACAAAAACATCTCTTCGGTAAAGTAAATGTGTTGTATTCTGCTCTTTTTACCATTTCATCAAGCTGCAAATTATTTCACCTCAGTGCTTGCTTGTTTATTCACTTGTTACTGCACCAGCTACTGCTAAAGTACAGATAAATAAATAAATTGATAAATTAAACAAAGCCTATTCTCACAGTAAAATTAGAGCTCCATTGACAATTTTTTTCTTGAAAAAAATTAGCGGTTGGTAATGTTCCTGCTAATCTTATCACCACTGCCTCCTGTCACCTCCAGTTAGAGCCTGTTCATTTATTTTCTGCCTATAATCTCCTTTAATTACTTCTCAGACACAAATGATGTTGCTATAATGAAACATGTACACATTCAGAAAATACTTAAGCAAAACTTTCCACTAATGTGTTTATATGATTGTTTTGTCTTGTATTTCTAAACTTACTAACAATTGTCTTTCTTTGTCAAACATATTGGGGCAATTACAGAAGTTGTTATGGGTGCAATACGCAGCAACCAATTTAGATAAATACATTATCATATTAATATCACAAAAGTCATATTTAAAAGATTTACTGGTAAAAACAGTGTTGCAGTGACATATGTGATTCAGTTGTGTTTATAGTGGTGCAGGCTGTTGAGTGAAATTGGTTTAGACCGGCAGTAAGGCTCATACCCTAACACAGAGGTGGAATGAGGTGTGTGTGTGTGTGTGTGTGTGTGTGTGTGTGTGTGTGTGTGTGTGTGTGTGTGTGTGTGTGTGTGTGTGTGTGTGTGTGTGTGTGTGTCCTAGCATTACTATACTTGTGGGGACCTAAATCTGTTTACACAGTCACGTGTGGGGACTCGCCTCCCTTATGGGGACAAATTGGAGGTCCCCATGAGGGGAATCATTAATTTTAGGGTGAAGACTTGGTTAGGTTTAGGGTAAGGTTAAGGTTAAGGGTTAGGGTTAGGCATGTGTTGGTTATGGTTCAAGTTAGGATAAGTCTCCAGGAAATGCATGTAAGTCAATGTAATGTCCCCTGAAGTGATGTATACATGGTATGTGTGTGTGTGTTCCCATGTCTGCGTATGCATGAAATGTGTTAATGAAATATGATGGATCCTCCCAGAGGCAAAAGCCCTCAAAGTTACACTTCCTAATGAAAGCATAAACATGTGTGACATTTCAACTCAGCACATCTTTATATCTCACCCCCTGTGGGTACAACACACATGCACACACACTCACTCCACCACCTCTCATCTACCTTAACCAAATACACACAAGTCAACCTGTCACCCCGATTTAAGTTGTTATCATACTCTGGAGTGTTTCTCTTTCTGTGTCTGTCTCTTTTTCACTTTATTTACATATGATGATACAATGAGAACAGCTTGTCACACTGTCAGAATTCCTCTGCATGTGTCTGCATATAAAGAGTTTTTAAGATTCTCTATATTTGCTCTCATACATACATACATCTCTCCTCATCTCCAATTGGTCTTTTACTCACATCTGACAGGCACTTGATATCCTGATACATCAGAGTTATCGAAGAGTGGTATGCTTTGATAGCTACGGTAGTGCTGGGAGATTTCATCTTTGGAGGGGGGTCTAGCTTCATAGCTCTCTTCCATCTGCCGTTGCCTTCCTCTCGTTAATTCACTTTTTGTAACACACTCACATATTCATGCACGACACCATGATGTTCAACAGTACAAGAGAAAGTGGGTAAGACAGGTCACTGTGTACTTGTGTGTACATTTGGATCAAAACTAATCTCGTTCCAGTCTAGATTTGTCTAACAAATTCACCTCCAGACATATTGACGTCTTTTCAGAGGAGACAGGAGTCATTTAAGGGCGGCAACTAACGTTTGATTAGAATGTCATGTGACCACAGTATGCCCTAATTTAAATGTATAGTATGTAAAGATAAGGCCTGGTGTAGACGGTTATAGTTAAAGATTTGAATACCGTGTAGCAACCAAAATGTCATTATGTATTCATCAGAGTGAGCATTGGCAGTGGTGGTGAAGATGTTTAAATGTTCTGCACCCAAAG